GCCTTGTCAGATCAAGTTTAAAATATAATTTTATTTGTGTTCTAACTTTATCTTTATAGTAATAATAATAACTTTAAGACTCTCATCATTAAACAATCTACAAAAGAGAGCAGACAAATTAGCATAGAACTATTTCATTTTGTATAATAATAATAATATATAGAATAAAGTTAAACCAAAAAATGACTTTAAAAATGTTAAAACACTGTCCTTTAATAATTTAACTACATAAAATAAATTACTAAATTTTAATCTGTTTCATACTAAACATAGAGCTTATAAAACCTTTTATTTTAAACCAGAAGATGCATTTTGTAAAACAAATACTTTATTTTAAGGTGAAAGTGGTCAAATTTTCATACATGTGGACAATCAATAACTTCAGTTTCTGTAGAGAAGAAATGGGAGAAGTCCTGAAAAGTTCCACATTCTCTGCTGGAGCAAATGACAAACTCAGATGGTGAGTTTTTCTGTGGTTCTTAATATAAAATCTTCATTACAGAACTATTCAAAATGAGTTTTCATCCATTTTTTTAGATGGAAATATGTGAATATAATTACTTCTTACAAATTTCAGTTTTGAAAACATTTAAAAATATCTCCTTAAAACTGATAATTACGAAGCTTGTATTTTTCAAACATATTCAACGCATTAAAAGTTAATAAAGGATAGATATTCATTTAAATGCTAATCATGTGCATTAGCATTCTACAACCTTTTTGAATCTTATTTAATATATATATATATGTGTGTGTGTAATAGCTGTCTGTCTGTCATGCTCTGTATCTCCTGAACGGTTAATTGCAGAAAATAAAATTGTATATCAAATTACCTCTTTTTCAATAATGCATTACCAGACAATTAATTTCATATTGATATCAACATTGATATATCAGTCTTTGTATGTGCTAAATAGTCAATCTGAGAAAAACAACATGTTTCTTTTTGTGAGGGAATTTCACACAAAACAAAACGGGATCCCATCCATTGACTGATTAAAAAAAATATTTTGATGGTAGGAGCATGAACAGAAAAAAAGGCATAAAGAGAGGATCATATTTGAGTATATATTTGTTGTTGTCCTGTTGATATATATGTTTGTATTGGTTTTATATACATGCGTGATTTTATTGTACCAGGTTGAATATATTGATTTGGATATCTCCCCTTCTACACTTGGTATGGAAATTACATGTGCTCAGTTTGGTAGTGGGCTTTTCTTGTACTCAGTAAAATGACAAGGAACTGTAGCATTCAACAGTAACAATCCCTGCAGCTACTTAGCAAACCTGAGTGCTCTATTCTGTTAGGTGCACCCACTGCATTTAAACCTAAACATTTCTGCCAACAGTGCATTGCAGTCAGTCTCCTTTGCTTAAAAACAAACACAATGCAATTCTCCTTTTTGAAATAACACGTGGAATGACAAAAGACAGCCACTAGATAATCATATTGTATTTGTTTCAACCGGGATCTACTAGTACTAAGTAATTGTCAGATAAGTTTATTTAGATGTAAGCTTTTGAGACATATCATTAGTGTACATAGTGCTTTGAAAACAAAAACTGTCAAGATAATCAGAAAATAGTCTTTCATAGAAGCTACTCATTTAAATGTGTAAATACAGAATAATTTCTTAACTAGCAAATATTTTCAACAAACATACCGAATATATGAACCAACCAGTATACTTACAATGTCTCTTTGTGCTTTATAAAGTTTGGTGAGGAATTTTTTTTTTTTAAACTATGATTACCTACAAATATTAGGATATATATGTATATGTATTTCCATCTGATGTTGGGATTTTTCTATTGGTAATTCTGAAAATATTAGCTATAGTTTCATAAGGGTATGTATGTTTTGTTTTTCAGGTGCTTAAGGGTCAATCCAAAAGGTCTTGATGAAGAAAGTAAAGATTACTTATCACTTTATTTGTTACTAGTCTCCTGTAATAAAAGTGAAGTCAGGGCAAAATTCAAATTCTCCATTCTCAATGCAAAACGAGAAGAAACAAAAGCAATGGGTGTGTATATACATGTATGATCCTTGTCTCTAAGCACGACTTTCTTACATACTTTGGTTATTATATATTCAGTGTTTACTTCATGTAAATATTGGTAAATTTATACAAAGCATTCTTCGCGCAAACATATCATGTATCAGAGTTATTTGTATACCTAGCTTGATTTTAGCATTCTCAGAATTTTCAAAAGGCATCCATGTGTAGTAAAATGAATGTGTGTGTGTGTAATACCAACAATATTTAATAATTTCAGTACCTGAATAATATCAACTGTTTTAGTTTTGTGGTAAAGAATTTGATAAAGCTGTTTTGGAGTGTGATTCTCTCCATTCATCATATTCAAAGGGTTAAGACTAATATTACATAATTTAAAATGGCTTTAAAAGAACAGCTTCATAAAGTTTTCAAAATCAAAATTAAATTTTGTGTATTTTTCTTAAGTCAGCAACTAAAGCCATGTATAATGTACCAGTGTTTTGTTCATTTCCATAAATGAATTTAATGAATTAGTTGTTGAATACAATAAATAACCGAGATTTAGAATAATGACTTGGAAAAAAAAAATTAAAGGCACATTTTCTTGTATATACTGCTTATTAATATTTTTAAAAATTTACATTTTTGTGAATTGATGATAAAATCTTGTATGAAACAATAGTAGTATGAAACTTTAGTAGCACTAATGGTATAGAAGATATGCTCTAGTTGAAAGCTGGCTTTAGTTTCTTACTTAAAACAGTATGTTTGATACTGACAAGGAAAGGAATATAGCAAAACTGTTTTAACCACGATAAAGGAGTCAGTGCTCAATCACCCCATCTTTAATGCCATTTTTGGTGTTAGGGGTAATATAAACTAGATTTGTTTTGGGCTTTGAGGGTATTTTAATTCTGTAGTGATTTTTAAGTACACAGAACTTTCTAATATTTAAAAACATGATTGCATTACTTACACGTATGTTCTCTTATGGTTTTCAGAGAGCCAACGAGCATATAGGTTTATTCAGGGTAAAGACTGGGGTTTCAAAAAATTTATACGTCGAGATTTTTTATTAGACGAAACTAATGGTTTGCTACCTGATGACAAGCTCACATTGTATTGTGAGGTAAGTGGACAAAACGTTTTCTAAATGAGCATGTTCAGGATATTTTTTCATGATATTACTCACTGATAAACATCATTTATTTTACTAGTTGTAATAAGAAACAAATTTCTTCACACTGAATAACTCCATGACCAGTTAGATCATCAGTTTTAAGTTCTCCCAACTTAGCTAGGCTGTTGGTAGAGAAATGCTTGCATGTCTTGTAATGTGAGAAACAGCTTGGTACAGATCTTATACTATTCAAAGCTGCAGTTCTTAGTCGATCTGACATAGCTATTTTTACCTATCTTACTATAATGGACATAGCATGTATGTCTGTATCTGTGTATGTAACCAAAACTCCTGTGCCATCTGCTGATTGGCACCACAAACAAATATCCATAAAAAAACTTCACACTTTGGGTATTCATGATTTAGACGATTAGAAAAATAACTGTGGTATGTGCAACAACCATTTCTTTGTAACAGAACACAATTTCAAATAAAAGTACCGTATTTTTCGGAATATAAGACGCACCCTTATTTTGAAGACAAAGTTTTGGGGGGGAAAAAGCTACAGTCGCATTTGAAAGATTTTTATTGAACAAAAATTCAATTTGATACTTTAAAAAATAGTATATATTGTTCTAAACACAAAAGAGCTCAAAACATCAAAATAAGAAAATACCATGAATCAAAAAAAAGGTTTACTCTTATTTAGTTTGGTTCAAAACCTACAAAATCTTCATTGCTTTCACTGTAATTTATTTTTTTATTATTTAGGGAGCATTATAAATAGTTATGTGTTTAAAATAAAAAAAACTACTATTGTTATAAATAACACATTCAATTGAACTAAACTATGCATGCCTATTTAAGTATATTTACACATGGCTTGTGTATATCGTATATATACATATATATTATTCATACCTTCGGTGTATAGGACGCAAGCAGATTTTGACATCAAATTTTGGGGGTAAAAAAAGTACGTCTTATACACCGAAAAATACGGTACTCTCCTCACAATAAGAATATTTTTACTAGGACTGTACGTAAGGGTTTGATTATATCTTTATTGATGTAATTTTTAAATGTAGTACTGGGAAAACTTTTTTACAACAGGACATGCATAGATACATAGATTTTCTGGTACATGCATAGATGAGAAACCAAAATTATTATTTTTTTTATCTAAGGCAGAATCTTTGAAGATCATAACCTTTATTGGATCTACTAGCAAACAAAGAAACCCGATGTTGTTTGAACAGAAACAACACAACAGCTTTCTGTTAAATATAAATAAATATAATTTTTTTAATTAGACATCATTTGATAACTTTAAAATTTTAATTATTTTGATTTCTTAAATGTTTTTCCTTTGTTTATTTCTGTAATCTCTATAGGTGAGTGTGGTCGCTGACTCTGTAAACATCTCAGGACAAAACAATGCCATACAGTTTAAGGTGCCAGAGTGCCGCTTGTCAGATGACTTAGGATTGTTATTCGAAAGTCAGAAGTTTAGTGATGTTATTCTTAATGTAAATGGAAGAGAGTTTTATGGACACAAAGCTATCTTAGCTGGTGAGACTTTATTTATGAGCTCATTTAAACAACAAGGTGAAAAACAAAAATGGTACAAATCCACTGTTTTTTTTTAAGCAGAGGTTAATTTTCCAGTTAGATACATCAAAACAAACTACAGTAAACTAAATATATCTTCATTATGATAAGTTCAACAAATCGTTCATTAATTATAACTGGTGTTTCAAGAGCTAAATGTTTAATTGAGATGTAGAAAACTTAGAAAATAAAATATGGTGAGGTTGATAAAATGGCATCAGTTTACAGTGCCAGGGTGGTTATATATTACTTTGTGCCATTATCTTTGTAGAAACTTTGAGCTGTGTTACAATTGAAAATCATTAAATCAATATAATACTGTGATTCAAGGAATAAACTGTTAAAATGGAAATTCTGTTTGTTTGCAACATGTTGTCATTTTATTTTTATCAGTTTCTCGTACTATAATGAATGAGTTCAAAATGCTATTGATATTAAAATAAGCAATATGTGTTAAAATCAGCCATTTATACTTCTCAAGTTTCCTTCTATTTTGTAAAACCAAATTTGGAAAAATCCATCAAAATCCAATGTTTCTGGTGGTATTGTTAGTGTCGGCTAACAATATGAAGAATTAAATTGTGGCAGAATGCTACAAGTTTTTTAAATACCTATAGAATGATAGGTTTCTTTTTGTGAGTGTAAAACACTTAAATACACCATTTCAATATTAGTAACGTAATTGTTTCTCTGTATAATGACCATTAGCCTGTATGATAATAGAAGCAGCATTTGTGATAAACATGGCATCTAAAGTATAAAGTAAAGGAAGAAATAGAAATTTGGAGATGAGTGTTAAATGAACATTGTTCTTTGACTTGACTGCATATATAATTGTATGGCAGTTATTTGATATTTAGCAATGTATGAATAACACATGAAAACTATAGAATTTACAGGCATTGAAAAGAAAATAAAGCCGGTAACTTAATTTACTTCATTGACAACGTGAAAGAACTAGTAGCTCCACAGATATCGATACATATCTGTAGATCACCTGTATATATATGTAATTTGAATTGCCTGCAACAGTGTCTAAAGATTAAATGTTTCATTGGAATCAGTGTATTAACTCTTCTTGTGTTTAAGGAGTAAGTGAATACGTATAGTTAATGATGGTTTTAGTGACACCTGATTAAACAAGGCTCGTACGGTTCTGCGATGACTGTGAAAAGTATGTTAATGGATTCCAACACTCAGATTAGTAATAGTAACCTATTTTTATTGGATTAAGTTTTATTTCTGATCTGTGTAGGTAGATTAATTTGATCAGAAGAAAGAGAAAGCATTTTTTATTCGATGTGATGTTTTAATTTAAGATAAAGTGTAAGGTATGTATTCGTAATAAAGTTATATCGGTGGTATTATTTTACCAGAATCACATTTTGTGTAATCTTATGAAACCTTCAAATATTTCTTATGGTAGAAATATGTTACTCAACTAATGTTTTTTTTTTGTTTTTTTTTCTCAGCACGATCTCCAGTCTTTGCTGCTATGTTTGAACATGAGATGGAAGAGAAGAAACAGGTAATAAATATTAATAGTTCGGGTCTTTTTATATATATATATTTGTTTATAACATTATTGGTGATATAATAAAAAAACAATCAGTATGAAAAATGTAATACCTGCCTAGAATTCTGAACTTCATTGCTAGAATCTCTTAAATACTATTTGCACATGTAGCCCCCAGTTCATTTCCTTCTTGTATTATTAAAATCATAATTTCACCTGGTTTTGACTCATTAAGACATACTGAAAATGATTTGGATAAATGAAATCTTGATTTTGATTAATTTGTGTTAATTTATAAAAAAAGAGAAAAACATTACTTCATAAAAGAGCCTTTTATCATATGAAGTGATAGTCTGGAAATAACATAAAAACAGTTAAAAAGAAGTAATAGAGTTAGAAAACAGTTTTAACTGTACTTCATCTTAAATGTATTTCAAAATTCTTCCTGTCCTACTTTAAGTCTCTCCGAATATAGGAGAGTGACATAAATATCCATTAAATAAGTAACTTCAATGCAAAACAAATGTGTGTGTATATAATATGTTTTACTGTGCCCGAGACATGCTTTTCTGTTTCATATAATATGTTTTACCATGCCCATAACATGCTCTTCTGTTTCTCTTCCCCATATCAAAGAAAACTATCACTATAACACACAAGATTTAAAAAAAAATCATTTGTAAGCACCAAATCTAGAAGAAGAAAAAGAAGCCATTTATACCATGGTTTCTTGCAGATGCTTCTGCATACAAAGTCTGCCAAAAATTGATTCTTAGAGAACCCTGGCCCACAAGTGAAAATCCAAACATTCAAGAACTGTCAGAAGTTAAATATTGTTGCATCCTTTACTGACAGAAAATATCAGAATGAATATATACACAAAAAAAGAAATGACTAAAGGTAATTCATTATCACACTGATTTGTCTCTAAGTTGGTTTAAAGTAAAATAATTGGAACTTTACCATAGAAAAATGTTGTACAAAAACTTTTCCTCTACTGTGCCATATTTATTGTTAAGTCAAACAATTAAACAATTTAATATTCACGTTGTTATAATACTTACATATAATGTACCATTGAATGTTGACAGATCAGCTGTAAGCTTAATGACTCTAATGTTACATACTTGATTTCACAATGTATTCAAGGTTATTCATTAACCATCCTCAGTCAGAGAAAACTTCAATTATAACTTCTATTGCTATTACTATAAACAAGTATTTAGAGGCTTTATATACATCTAAAGTTAACAAATGTTCTATGGCTAAACATAGTTTATTGTATTTTGCTGTATACAAGGCAACATGCTTTAGAATTAAAGAAAAAGATTAAAACTGTCTTGAATTGAAAGATTTATCATCAAATTCAACTTAGAATTATTTTAAGTGAGTATAAATTTTGTTTAAGTAATTACTTTAAATTTTAAAGACAGTATTCCAAAAACAGTGTTCTTACATCATCTATAAATTTACACGTCCAAGGTGTAACTATGGCTATGTGGACTGTACAACTTGTTGCTTGCACTCAAGGCTTACACAGCAAGTGAAACAAACTCCGTATAATCACTCATGATTCTATTCTTAAACATGACTTACAAGACTGTGACTTTCTTCCCACTGCCCAAGATTTCAGCATATTGGGCAGCTCTCCAAATGAAAAAAATGCTATGAGCCAAAGAAACATTGTTGATTTCATAAATGGTTAATACTTCTTGATGTTTGAACACCCATCACAAGGAAAAGTGTGAATAATATTTAAAGAGGCAGTTAGTACTACTATGTATAGATCAAGGTCAGCTACTATTAACATGATAAGTGCACCAAACATACGAGTCATAAGGCTCACTGTTTTTAAAATCTAGCTTCATCAATTATTGTACAGATTTTATTCTTAACTTCAAAATTTTTAATTGCAGTATGTTAACTTGAAAGGGTAGTCTTTAGTTCTGAATGACCCTTACCTAAATAAATATTTCTAATATGTAACCTTCATACAAACATTTTACATACTGTCTTAAGATTGTTTAGGACAATAAAGTATTAAATATGAATTTTCACTTTGTTTATTATTCTTTCTAGAACCGAGTACAAATAACAGACATGGACCATGAGGTGCTTAGAGAAATGCTTCGGTTTATTTATACAGGGAAAGCACCATGTTTAGAAAAAATGGCCGATGATCTGTTAGCTGCAGCTGACAAGGTAATTTAAGTTCTCTTGTTTCCTTATTTTCAAAGAACTGGAAGATATTGTACATTTTTAAGGCTTGAAAATTTATCATTCCTTTTTTTTAAAAACAAATGTACGTTATACTTTTATTGACTTGAATTTTTTCTGACTTTTCATTCTGTTCATGCAACACGAGACTTTGTTTTGTAAACCTTTATATTTTTGCCATATACCATTATTTTTTTAAGCACAGATTACATTATTAGCAGTGCACGTATTAAGATGTCTTTCGTGACAGCATAAGTTAAAACAGTGGAAAATAAATAATATAACTTGGTTTCTTATGAATAAGTAATTCATGTTAATACCTTTGTAGACTTTACAGCTTATACGAACTTAATAAGTATGACATTTGATAAAAAATGTGTTTTTTTACTGTTATCAGTCTTGGTTATGCTAATATATTTAAGGCCCACCCCTAAAGACTGAAAACCTTTTCTATACTTGCATTTAGTGATAATAATTCTAACCAGGTAAACGAATTAGTAGCACACCGAAATACTATTATTAAAACTTTTATTTTGACCATGAAAAGTCAAATTGCTGTTATGTTTTGGAATTGTGTATTATAATGCAACTGTACTATAGTATTTTCACATGTAGGTCTAATATCTCAGTGGTTTTTGTACAGTATGCCTTAGAGCGACTTAAGGTAATGTGTGAGGAGGCATTATCGACCAGTCTTTCCGTGGAGACAGCTGCTGATGTGCTAATACTTGCAGACATGCACAGTGCAGACCAGCTAAAAGCGCACTCTATTGACTTCATCAACACGTATGTTATTTGCTATTGTTTATCTTTAGGCTGGTCACTTCAGCTTATATTCATGCTTATGAAAACATCTCTGTAAGAATTAAAATAAATATGTGCTGGTGAGATATTTAGGGTTAGAAATGAACCATCATAAAATAACGATGATTCTCTGGTAGCCGTTGGACTTAAAAATAAACTTGATAATCTTATATATATATACACTGAATTAATATTTGTTAGATTTTCACTTCATTCAGTAGTTGTAGATAATAACAAGAGTTTGAACTAGTACAAACATAAATTGGCAGAAGGAAAATTATCCAATTTTTGTTTCTTGAAATATACATCCAAGAATTTGGATATTTTACTATTGGTTTAGGCTCTTAATTTTTTGCAGTTGTTATTGTTAAAGTGAACAGCATAAGTAATATATGTATTTCACAGTTTAATTAAAATCTGCATTTAGTTGAATATTAAAAATTCTAGATCTGACTAATTTTGTAAATCATGATACTTCATTGTTAGTGCTCAGTTGACACGAGACATGTACACACAGTAATAAGTGTTTTATATTATCAAACAGTTTCCTCACTAGAAATAAGTTTTTTTTTAATACTTAAAGGTCTGTTTAGATAAAGAATGAAATGATCTTTCCACAATTTATTCTAATGTTTTATTTTCACAGACATGCAACGGATGTTATGGAAACTGCTGGATTCAAGAGTATGGTTCACAGACAACCACATCTAATAGCAGAAGCCTTTCGTGCCCTTGCAACTCAACAAGTCCCACCAATAGGACCTCCAAGAAAAAGAATAAAACAGTCATAAGACCTAATATACCTCCTGATTTCTTGTTCATTAGAACATAGTGTGTTTGCCATCAAGTGCACAGTACCAAATTTCTGACTTAAATAAATTATTTGTGAAATTACACTGAACATCACCATCTTGAACATCATCATTATCATTTTGTTTTTTGTTTGTAAAAATACCCATCACTGGACATGGTCCATTTGCAGAAGCTTTAAGGATGTAATTTTTGTGTGTATTCACTGTTCTTCTCAGATCTTCAAACTGCGTGATCAATTTTGAATTTCAAAAAATGTATTTTAGTATGTGGGCAAAAAAAGAAAGTTTACATTGACCAGTTTCTTGGTCAGTATGTTAAATATGTGACCAATGGGAAAAATCTTCCAGTTTGACCTCAAGTGTATTATACTACAAGATCCTAAACATTGACAATGATTAATTGACTAGAAGAGGACACAGTGTTCTCATACAAAAGAAATGTAGTATGTAGTGATAGCTTTTTACGTAGCCACTCCAACGTATTTTGATTTGTGTTTTTTTGTGATATTTTGAATGAATTGTCACCCAATTCTCACTACTAGATGGTTAGAAATTAGAGTGAGCACTAATTAGGGTGAAGGACTGTATCCAGAATGTTTGTGTTTGTTTATCTTGTTAATATTTGTAAATTTCAGATGCTAAGATTTATAGAAAAGAGCATGCATGAAGTTTTTCTGTTTCATATTACACATTTTATTACCAAACAGTGGTGAAATGATTGTGTGTTATAAGTAAAAGCAGACACATCCATAAACTCTCTGAAGTATACACGTATTTGGTAACAATTATTTTTATCCACATAGAAAAAGTTACACAAATTACAATTGATATGTTGTTAACAAGAAACCATAACTGCAAACATTAACATTTTCCCAAAAATGATACATGTGATAAAGGCTGTGGATTTTATCAATGTGGATAAATACCGAGTACGAGAAAATTTATATTCAATTAATGTTCTTTAAGCTACTTCCCTTTAAAAATAGTTTTTTTTAACTTTTAAAAAATTAAAGAATAAATGTACATAGATGAAAAACAATAATGTTATGGAAAATATCAGTATAAAGAAAACAGTTACCATATCTACAGGGATAGAAATAATGAAATAAAATTACATTTACTCGAGGGAAAGCTATCGGGAAGATTACATTTCCATCATGTAAAGTTGCATTTCCTCATGAATTGTTTTCTTATTTAATTCATGGAATATGTTCACTTTTATTGGTCATAACTAAAGGAATACAGATGGACCATGGAATCCCGATCGAGAAAGCCAACTAAAATGATAAAATTCCTCGGGAATGTAATATTTTAATCCCTGATCTGCATTAAATGGATTTAAAATAAATTATGAATGGTCCTTTTGTTTGAATGTGAAATAGGTTCAATAAACCACTTTTACAGTTAATTAAAACTGTGTCCTCAGATCAAATTTTTTAGGCTGTAGAAATGACTGTGTGTGTAACAGATATTCATTAAGGTCAGTTTATTTCAACTTGAAGACACATATATGATATATGTAAAGTGTTGGTAGGAAGACTTTAAACATTTGTTAAACTGAAGGTTAATTTCTGTATACATCCTTGCTTGATTGTTTACTTGTCAGGATGGTTTAAAATTATCAAAAGAAGAGTTGACATGAGAACTAGGAAATAGTTTCCGTTGAGAAGTACAAGTACATTACAGTGTATCACTATCAGTAGAGAAATTACTGGTTCCAGTGATTGGACTATCATCTGTAGTCAAATAGTTGAAAACCTTATGTTATTAGTAGGACTTATCTTCTTTGTCAGTAATTTATTTTTAAACTGTTATAACTATAGTCTAGTAGAAGATTGGAAGCAGAATCGCTATTTACCTACCTCCTTCACTCGTGGTTCCATCACAGCTTGTTAAAATTTTAACTTCAAAGAGTTAAAATGTACAGAACAAAAACGAAGTAAATTGGATGTGACACTTTTTAGAAGTAAGATTATTTTAGATATATATACTTTCCATTTTACGAGATGTTTTCTGAATAGCAGAACAAAAGGGCATTTTTGAAAAATAGTAAAAATATCACCTTAAATTTTCTAAGGAGGATTTCTTTCTTAAAAATTATATAAAAACGTAAGCATCCCTATGTTCGTATAAAATTGGTATTTGCAAAAGCTAAAGTTCTTTGAAATCTGGCAATAAGTTTTTATAACCATTAGTATTAGTCCTGTATCTTAATGCTGCCACCTTGAAGCTGAATCTAATCTCCTGGAATAAATATACAGAAACGACTGTGTGTTTTTTATTCAAGTTTCAACCTATGCTTCAGTTCATAGCCAATGTTTTGTCGAAAATTTCATTGTGGTACAAAAATAATTAAAACTCAGTGGTTCAAACTGATTTGAAGTAAAACCTTTGAATAAGTAACTGACCCTTGTGAATAGAGTGAGAGTTATGTGATAACATTATCAAGTCATCTTCTGTTCAGTTTAAATACTGTTTGTGTATGTCAAGTGTAAATTGCTAGTGGTTAATATTACTTACTCTCTTGTTTTGCATATTTCTTTCAACTGTGATGCTGTTCTCTAAACCTCATCTAGCAAAGGTGTTTAATTGGAAATTTCAACATAGAACTTTACTCATTATTTAGTAAAAGATTGTGGAAAGATGAGATGAGTCCAATTAATTTGATTTTTTGACCTGTTACAGTAGTGTGATCATGTTTTCATACTTTCTTCAAGTTACCTGAAATAAATTCTTCAGTCATGGAAGTGGAAGACCCAATTGTGTCATTTTAATTTTCATCCTCAGCTCACAGGCACAAATAATAAGCACACTTCCGCTTTTGTAAAATTTCTATTTTAAACATGTAATAACATATCATATCATTTGTTCTTCAGGTTTAACTTACAAGTTAACAAAACGGCGTTTTAATAAAAAAAAAAAGATAAAAACATAATTTTTTCTCTGAATATTTCACAAAATTATTATCACACATCTTAAGTTTATAATGCTCTTTCCTGTCGTTTTGATGGAAAACTACACAAAAATAAAGAACTCGTCTTTCATTTTTAACATATTAATTATTTTTTAATTTTCTTTCCTTTATAGATATTCAACATTTAGACTTAGTTTTGGAAACTATAGTACGTTTTCGTAAAAGTTCTACATTAAGTTTAGCTTTGAATTTTCGCTACTGTTTATAGTGGCTTGTGTTTCTTTAATATTGAAAAATACCTTTCATTTTTTCTACTTATTCGTTACACCAAAATGTGAATTAATAGACGTATGAGTGTTTTTTTTTATTACAGAAAAGCTGATATGAACTATTAAAGTTCAGACAAAAACATTTAGTTGACTAGAATGGCACAGGAAAATTTACATTAAAAAATTAAGACATCTACTACTAATAATCATATTATGAATTGCCTAGACTCAATATTTATGCCAATTGTTTATCATTTTTGATTTCCTTTAACACTCTTGTTATATTTATTCTTATAAATCGCTGGATAATTATTTCCCTTCTTGAGATACATATACTACTAATGCGACAAAGAAATTGTAAATAACGAACTTATACCACAAGCACTTGGTAACTGATAAAGAAATGTATATAATACTTACAGCACTCTGGGCTGGGACTCTTATTTTGGTGAAAACTTATAAGTGATTGAGCGAGAATGTTCCTTGGGCGATTTAAAGTTACATTTATTATACTATTTAAAGAAAGGAATCACTCAACTCTAAATATACATACATCAAATTTTCCATTGTACTAAATGATAAAGACCCATTGTTTCTAATCACTCGTGTCTTTGAAAAATACTGTTATGTTACAGAACTACTGTTTAACTTGAGGAATATTTATGCTACGAAGCACATACCAGAAATATAGAAGGTTCAGTGTTGGAAAATGATATTTGAACGTTAATGAAAAATAGTTCATTCCTGATACTTGAAGACAGGAATTATAGCAGCAATATTCCTTAAAATTTGCTTTATGAATCTGTTTCAATTTTAACCATTAGAACATTTTTCCCATAAAAATCCTTTTAAGGCTTTAAATCGAAAATATCTCAATATCTGAGAATATGTTTACCTGGGACATTTCATTAACTTCTTAACCTACTTAATGAAATGAGTGTAACCATAGGAAATTTTATTTAAATTTAAATTCTTGCTCATTTTTCTTTGTAAACGAATCTTTTTATTATTAGTGCATAACATACACATTGAGGTTTTTAAATACTATGTATAAGGTGATCATCGTGAATATGTAGCAAAAAATTACATTATATAGTAGCTATGCCAGATTTGAAAAATGATGGGTAAAATAACATTAAAGTAGACAAAAAAATGTGGAGTACATTACCTTCCCTTATTATAATTGGTATTCTATTAACATTTCTTTTGAATTAATTAGAAATAAAACAATGGACTAAAACAAAACGAAATACCAAATAAGAGTGAGGAAGTTACTCATTTCTAATTGTCATTTGTTACTCTTTTCTGTGATGGAATTGTGTGTGCTATAATTACCTACATTCCAATATATATATGTAATTAACAAAACTTGATTTATTATTTTATTTTAACCAAAATGACACATTGACATCATATTCGTTTGGACTGAAAATTGAAAGGGATTTTATTTGATATTTGTGTAACATCTTAGCAGGTTAACAATAATGGTTTTATAAAAATAATAGAATTTTTATGAAGCAAGTGAAGCCATCTATTGACAAATAAAGAAATTCCTATAATTCGAATTTTAACCAAACATATCTCAATGTCTTCGTACACGCAACAAATTATTGAAACGAATATCCTAACTCTATTTTTAGATTAGGAGGGGAGGCCTGTATGGGTTCGGAAATTTGACCGATCTCGCAACCACCATAAAAAGTTATGAAATAAACATAAATTATGCATCTTTCATTGTAGAATGAACAAAAAGGGATTTAATTTGATAGTTATTGGATGAGCATCCGCATATGTTTGTTGTGCAAATATAAGGTAGTGACAGTACTTACTTCTTTTGTGTTTTGAGTAAAGGTTTTTAATAACAGTTCAGTATAGTCTCCATCTATCTAGAGATAACTGAACTTCCAATTATTTTTCAGTGTAGTCTCCATCTATCGAGAGATAGCTGAACTTCGAAATATTTTTTCAGTATAGTCTCCATCTACCGAGAGATAACTGAACTTACAAGTATTTTTCAGTTTTGTCTCTATCTATCGAGTGATAAATGAACTTACAAGTATTTTTTCAGTATAGTCTCCATCTACCGAGAGATAACTGAACTTACAAGTATTTTTCAGTTTTGTCTCTATCTATCGAGTGATAAATGAACTTACAAGTATTTTTTCAGTATAGTCTCCATCTATCGAGAGATAACTGAACTTACAAGTT